CACGGGCCAAGATGGAGGTGTAGGTGGAAATACTGTACCTCCTCACACAACCAAATTTAAGGACAACAAAGATTTAGAAGCAAAAACATAATCAGAACAGACAGAAAATTGAACTGTACTGAAGTTTAACAACAACGAACCATTCATCCAGACCAGTAAGAGGGGTAGAGTCTGCAGCTAGCAGAGAGGGGTCCAGACAGGAAGAGGCAGTGGTTGGCGACCCAGGCACTTGGAGGAAATGAACAAACCCAGTGAGACACAGAAGGAGGTTGGCTGACTGTGGACACACATTTGCACACAGATAAATCAGGCAAAAAAAAGGGGCAGTGAGACAGACCATACAACCCAGGGCCTCAGTGCTGGGAAATAAAGCCTAAAAGCACAAATTGGAAAAAATTTCAATTTGGGGGGAGTTGAGGTGCTGGGAGAGGCTCCCAGCCTCACAGGAGAGTTTGTTGGAGAGACCTACAGGGTCCTAGAAAACCCAGAACCAGCACAAGAAGGGCCCAATTTGCTTGTGGGAAATGGCAAAGGACAAAAATTCAAGAGAGTGCAGAACAAGCGCCATTGTTCCCTCTCTGCCCCTGCCCCCACATACAGCGTCACAACACAGCAATGTGCGTTGCCCTGCCCTGGTGAACACCTAAGGCTCCACCCCTTACTACATAACAGGGGTGACTTGACCAAAAATGGCTAAATGGAAGAAGAACAAATGGAAGCCCCAGAGCCAATACTTTTAAGCGACCAAGAGACAGCCAACCTATCAGATGCACGGTTCAAAGCACTGGTGATCAGGATGCTCACAGAATTGGTTGAATTTGGTTGCAAATTAGATGAAAAAATGAAGGCCATGCTAAGTGAATTAAAAAAAAATGTACAGGAACCAATAGTGATGGGAAGGAAACTGGGACTCAAATTAATGGACTGGACCAGAAGGAAGAAAGAAACATCCAAACAGAAAAGAATGATGAAACAAGAATTAAAAAAAAAAAATGAGGAGAGGCTTAGGAACCTCCAGGACATCTTTAAACGTCCCAACATCTGAATTATAGGGTAACCAGAAGGAGAAGAGGAAGAGCAATTAATGAAAACTTATTTAAACAAATAATGAAGAAGAACTTCCCCAATCTGGCAATGAAAATAGATTTCCAGGAAGTCCAGGAAGCTCAGAGTCCCAAAGAAGTTGGACTCAAGGAGGAAATCACCAAGGCACATCATAATTATATTACCCAAGATTAAAGATTAGGAGAGAATCTTAAAAGCAGCAAGACAAAAGGAAAGAGTTACATACAAAGGAGTTCCCATAAGACTGTCAGATGATTTCTCATAAGAGACTTTACAGGCAAGAAGGGGCTGGAAAGAAGTATTCCAAGTCATGAAAGGCAAGGACCTCCATCCAAGATTGTTCTATCCAGCAAAGCTTTCATTTAGAATGGAAGGGCAGATAAAGTGCTTCTCAGATAAGATCAAGCTAAAAAAGTTTATTATCACCAAGCCATTGTTATATGAAATGTTAAAGGGACTTATCTAAGAAAAAGGAGTTAAAAATATGAACAGTGAAAGGACAGCAAACTCACAGTTATTAACAACCACACCTAAAACAAAAGCAAACTAAGCAGACAGCTAGATCAGGAGTGAAGCCACAAAAAATGAAGATCACATGGAGGATTAGCAACAGGGGAGTGGGAGAAGGAGAAGGGGGGAGAAGGTACAGAGAATAAGTAGCATAGATGGTGGAGAGAAAATAGACAGGGGAAGGGCAAAGTAGTGTGGGAATTGTAGAAGCTAAAGAACTTACGACACATGGACATGAATTAAAGTGGGGGAATGATGGGGGAGGGGGTGTGCAGGTTGGAGGAAAATGAAGGTGGGGAAATGGGACAACTGTAATGGCATAATCCATAAAGTATATTAAAAAAATAAAATGTTCAGACTACCTGAAGCAATTTACACATTCAATGCCATTGCTATTAAAATACCAATGACATTTCATAGATCTAGAAGTAATATTAAAAAAAATGTATGTGGAACCAAAAAGACTCTGAATAGCCTCAGCAATCTTAAGAATGAAGAACAAAATTGGAGATATCACAGTACCTAATAGCAAACTGCACTATAATGCCACTATAATCAGAACAACCTATTACTGGCATAACAACAGGCATATAGATCAATGGAACAGAACAGACAGACTAAAGATAAACCCACACCTTTATGGTCAAATCATATATGCCAAAGGAGGCAAGAGTATACAAGAGAGTAAAGACAGTCTCTTCAATAAATGGTGTTAGGGAGACTAGACTGGCACATGCAGAAAGAGAAAGAAAAGAAAGAAAAGAAAGAAAAGAAAGAAAAGAAAGAAAGAAAGAAAGAAAGAAAGAAAGAAAGAAAGAAAGAAAGAAAGAAAGAAAGAAAGAAAGAAAGAAAGAAAGAAAGAAAGAAAGAAAGAAAGAAAGAAAGAAAGAAAGAAAGAAAGAAAGGAAGAAAGAAAGGAAGAAAGAAAGGAAGAAAGAAAGAAAGAAAGAAAGAAAGAAAGAAAGAAAGAAAGAAAGAAAGAAAGAAAGAAAGAAAGAGAAAGAGAGAAAAAGAGAGAAAGAGAGAGAAAGAGAGAAAGAGAGAAGGAAGGAAGGAAGGAAGGAAGGAAGGAAGGAAGGAAGGAAGGAAGGAAGGAAGGGAGAGAGAGAAAGAAAAGAAAGAAAACCATCAGCTTATATCATACACCAGAATAAACTCATAATAGATAAAAGACTTAAAATAAGTGATAAAACCATAAAACCCTAGAAGAAAACATAGGCAGCAAAATTTCAGATATTTTATGGAGCAATTTTTGCTAATATATCTCCCAGGATAAGGGAAATGAAGAAAAAAAAACAAACAAATGAGAATACATCAAATTAAAAGCTTCTGCATAACAAAAATTAATCATCAAAATGAAAAGAGAACCAACTGTATGGGAGAATATAATTTACCAGTGGTGCTCTAGATAAAGGTTTAATATCTAAAATATATAAAAATCTTATATAATTCAACACCAGGAAGACAAACAATTATAAAATGAACAAAGGGCCTAAACAGACACTTCTCCAAAAAGGACTTACAGATGGCCAATATATAGAAAGTGCTCAACATCTCTAGTCATCAGAGAGATGACTAGAAATTAAAACCACAATGTGATATCACCTCACGCCTGCCAGAAAGGCTACCATCAATAAATCAATAAACAACAAGTGTGGCTGAGGATGTGGAGAAAACAGAAACTTAGTGAACTATTTGTGAGAATGCAGACTGGTACAGCCATGTGGAAAACAGTATGGAGCTTCCTCAAAAAAATTAAACTGCCTTTTGACTCAGCAATTCCACTTTAGGGAATATATCTTAAGAATCCCAAAACACCAATTCAAAAGAATATACGCACTCTTATATTTATAGCAATGTTATTTACAATAGCCAAGATCTGGAAACAGCCTGAGTGCTCATCAGTAGATGAATGGATAAAAAACCTGTGGTACACTTGCACAATGGAGTACTACCCAGAGGTGAAAAAGAAGAAAATTTTACCCTGCAGGCAGCATGGATGGACCTAGAGAATATTATGCTAAGTGAAATAAGCCAGTCAGTGAAGGACAAGCACCACATGATCTCACTTATATGTGGAATCTAATAAGCAAAAACTAATGAAAAAATAGAAACTGAGGCATAGACATATGGAACATACATACTGACAACTGATGGGGTTCAGGGTAGGTGGGAAGCTGGGGCTGGGTGCAAGGAGGTGAAGGGATTAACCAAAGAACTATGTGCATGACCCATGGACATAGACAATGGTGCGGGAATTGTCCACAAATGGGTTAGGTGTAGGCGGGAAAGAGGAAAAAGTGGGATCAACTATAATAGCATAAACAATGAAATACAATGAAAAAAACAACCATCTGTGAAATCAAAGAACAAACTAAATGAACACACATAATAAATATAATTTTTAAAAGATTTATATAAAACACTCACTGAGGCAAATACATTTTATATTGAAACCCTGAGATAAACTGAGCTTTAAAAAATTAAGCCTTTGATTTTTTTGCAAGAACACAAGGATTACACAATTTTTATTTAAGAAATGCTGGAAATTTTGGAGTATCAAACATAGAATATTTTTGGAATTCCACATTTCACATAAAGTGTTTTCCATAGTAAATGGAAAACAGCAAGACCTTAATACCCCACATATGTAAGCACATGCAACAAACATTTAATTTATTTTATCACAAATGCATGTGCATTGTGTGTGTAGAACTTAATTTTACATACATTTTATGTATTTTAAGATAATCAAGAGTCATGTGTTTTTTCCAGTTTAGCTAAAATAATTTATACATATCTATCTTTCTATTATCTATCATCTATCTACCTATCTATCTACCATCTATTTATCTCTTTATTTATCTAACTTTAAGATACGAAGGTCTTCAGAGAAAATGCTGTTTTATTTTGTTTTAAATCTCCAGTTGCTTCACTTTTTGACACGATGAAAATGTCAGCAGTGGAGACCACAGTGAGATGTCTCCTTTATCTTACAAAGGGAAATCAGGTCTTGCATAAGGTTGAGACTGTGGGCTTAATGTGTGATAGATCACAGAAAAAATAACTAAAACCTACACAAAAATAAACAAACATACCTAAATTAATTTCTCCTCATCAAATTTCTGAATTCACAAGCAAGCATCAAACTATGAATCTAGAGCAATGTTAAAAATGAGAATTTCTGGGTTAAAATCATGTGTATTTTAAGTTGACATATGCAACAAAATAGCTGACAGAATACCATACAACTCTAATTTAGGTTACAACACATACAGTATAGTATAGAATTGTGCATTCTCTATACATGTATCAAGCTTTCTAACTCTGACAAGGTGATGAGCACTCTCTCCTTCCATGCAACACCTTTGGTGATGAAAATAACTGTCTTTAGGGTAATCATCTCATCGTCACTGACCCCCTTATTATTTTCTTTGAAGAAAGAGGTGGATTAGTCCCTGGCGAATCTGCTTAGTCTTAACACTGTAGATGATGGGATTGAGCAGAGGAGGGACCAGAAGATAGACATTGGCCAGGAGCAGACGGACAGCAGGTGCAGCATGCTTCATGAAGCGATGTACCAGAGCCACACTGATCATGGGTACATAGTATACAAGGACTGCACAGATATGTGATACACATGTGTTCGGGGCCTTCCGCCGACCTTCCCCAGAGGTAATGCCCAGCACTGTGTAGAGAATCAGCACATAAGAAATGATGATGAGCAGTGAGTCCAGACCAAAAGTGGAAGTTACAATGCAGAGCCCCAGAATGCTGTTGGGCCGAGTGTTGCCACAGGGGAGCTGGATTAGATCTGAGTGAAGACAGTAGGAGTGGGAGAGGACCTTGTGGCCACAGAAGGGCAGACGCATCAGGAGAAAGGGCAGTGGGAACATGAGCACCACACTCTTCAGTCCAAGAGCAGCACCAGTGCCAGCAATTCGGGGCAGGGTCAGGATGGCAGTGTACCGCAATGGGTTGTAGATGGCCACAAAGCGGTCCACAGACATGGCCAGCAGGACTCCTGATTCCATGATGGAAAAGGAGTGTATGGAGAACATCTGTAAAAGGCAGGCTGCAAAAGAGATCTCACTGGCACCAAGAAGGAAAATGCCCAGCACAGTGGGCAGTGTAGAAACAGAGACACCAAGTTCTGCAAAGGCCAGCATAGCAAGAAATAGGTACATTGGCTGGTGCAGAGAGGGGCTGTTCTTGATCACTGCCAGAATCAGACTATTACCCACAAGGGCCACAAGATATATAGAGCAGAATGGGAAGATAAACCAAGGGTAAAAGGCCTCCAGCCCAGGGAGGCCAGTAAGAAGAAAATATTCTGGGGTGAGTTGACTTCTGTTGAACATTTCCTTATGTCTGGAGTTTGGGGATGTTGATCTAAACAGGTGCCAGGGATACAACCTGGAGAGAGACACAAAAGCTAATTGAGGACTGAGAAGGGACAACATATCATGGTATCTACGACTATCTGCCAACTTACATGCCTCTTCTCTTCAATGACCTGTTCCATTTCATCTTTAATCCTAAATAAAATTGTGGAGTCATGACTTGCCAACAAGTATATTTCCAGAATAAGGGAATCTGGTATAAAGTTTATTACTCATAATTCAAATTAATCCCACACTGATTTCACTGTGTATATTTGGTAGGGATTGAATGTTTCTCATATCTCTATGAGGACAAGGAGTTTTGTAGCTTAAAGAAGACACCTACATAAAGAAAGCTGTAATCTATTAGATATTCTAAACCCCCCCCACTAGAGCATTTTGGACTTTAAATGGATGAAGGGCACAGAGATTAAGAATAAACTTACTTCGATGTCAGCATAGAATTGTTTAGTAGATAAAGATTCTGAAGGCCGTCCTTGCCACTCCAGGTGTCACTGAAGGCTGGCTTTCATTGGAGACACAGAATTTTGAGATTTAGTTGGATAAAGCATCTCTGAAATGGGATGTATTCTCTGGGTTTACTCGACAACCTTCTGGACAATTATTTTGGTTTTTATATATGGTAGGGTGGGCAGTATAGAAAAAAAATCATTGTTATAAAGGTTAGTGAATAACTGTATTTTGCCCATAGGAATATTTATAGTGGAAAGAAATATTCTTTCTCTTGGAAAATCCCTCCACTCTTGTCAATCCCCATGTTGCAGGCTAATCAGTGCTTATCATGTATATGATCACAATAAGCAATAGTCCTAGAAGATGGCCCTCAGAACATGATTCTGAAACTGCAGAAATAATGACAAAAATTTTTATTCTGCATGCCTCATGTCAACGGTGCTGATGTCTTTTCAAAAACCTACCTGGAAGGGCCACCTGAATCATTTTACACGATCTGAGACAAATATATCTGTTAAGGAGAGAGGAAGAGATCTCTGCATACCAAGAAGATGCGACTATGAGGCAACCGCTACACCTCAAGAGAGAAGGTCAATAAAAATCTCTGCTTTAGAAAAAAGTATAAGAGAGGGGAAAATATCTCTCTCTGAAAGGTAGGAGAATGGATATGACTCAACACTGGAAACAAAAAAAATCATGATTTAGAAGAAAATGTATTGAAGGTGAGGAAGCTGGAGGTGGAAGCTGGGTAGTGGAAGGTGGGATTACAGTTGAATGTGCAGACATGATTTTAAATGCTTGAATGCTACTTTCTACTGAGCTATTCTTTGAGCTGGAATTTTTATATCTGTAAAATGGAGATAATCCTATAGATAACAAATATAATACTACTATTAATAATATTCTTTTAAAGAGTACTATAAACTGCTGTGATCTTGAGTTATGAGAAAGTAATATTGCCTCTTCTGGGAGATAGTAGATCCTCAGTGAAGACCTACTGCTCACCAAGGAATAAACATTAGTGATGACATAAGGGCTGTTTGATAAGGAACCACTTCTGATGCTGATATTTTGAGCTGGGTATTTAATTTTCATCCAATTATTTTTTATTCATGTTTTTCTCCCCATCATTATGGACAATATTCATCTTTTTGCAATTCAGCTATTTTTAATTGCTTAAATTTTCCTAGCTTGAAGATATCAGCTTTGCATCTTTATTAAACTGAGCCTTGAAAAGTATCTGGAATGTCTCTAGAAATTATTTGACCCTGCTTTTTGATCTGTGATGGACACTGCATCTCACATGTATTTAAAAGTCTGCTGCTTTTCAAAAGTCTCCTGATCATTCAAAAATTTTTGTACACGGGAAGTGAGTCATTGTGTAAAACTGACACTACTTAGTGTCACCTGTCATGTAAGTGAAAGCAGATGAAATTTGAGAACGATTCTTCCTGTCCTTGATAAATTTGGTGGGGAGGGAAAAGTGGTTTGGGAATGAGCCTAAAGTTTGGATTTGTCATCTTCACAAACCCAAACTTTACTGATTAGCATTTTAATTATGAAAAAAGTGAAGAAATGTAATTCTAAAATATGATATCTTAACGCTGCAAAATGGTCTGGTGGAGAGCAAATTAGTGGCATCTAACATCAACCATCAATTTGAATTAATAAGGGGAACAATGCTTTTGTGCCCCTGCTACTGTTTAAGATGAAAAAAATTACTTATCATTCATACATTCATCCTCTCTGAGTGGCACATTTCTTAATGACTATTAAACTCCAACAAGATTTAATTCCTTAACCTGACTACTCCACATAACCTGACATACCCTAGCTTATGTTTTCTCTCTTGGTCATTCCTGTGATTTTTTTTATTGTTCTTTGTTTTGCTATTTTTTCCTTTCCTTTTACAAATACAACTTCCACCATTTTTTATAACATCTAGTTCAGAAGCCAATGCTGTGATGTCTTTGCTCACTCATGTGTATAATCACTTCCTACAGCACACTTTCACAGCACTTCCCTTATTTTAGTTGTTTATGTGACTTTTCCCAGTTGTATGAAGCTTTTTCAAAGAAGATCTAGATCCTATATTTTAAATATATCACTAAGGCTTAATAAATGGGAATGGAGAAATCATAAACAAAGCAACAAACAAGTGCTAGAGAGGTTGTGGAGGAAAGGGGACCCTAGTGCACTGTTGGTGGGATTGCAGACTGGTACAACCACTATGGAAACCAGTATGGAATTTTCTCAGAAAACTAAAAATAGATCTGCCTTTTGACTCAGCAATTTCACTGCTATGTTTATATCCTAAGAATCCTGAAACATCAACCCAAAAGAACCTATGCACCCCAATGTTCATAGCAGCACAACTTGCAATAGCCAAGGGTTGGAAGCAACCTAGGTGCCCAACAGTAAATAAATGGATCCAAAAACTATGGTATATTTACACAATGGACTTCTATACAGCAGAAAGAAAGAAGAAGCTCCTACCCTTTGCAACAGCATGGATGGAACTGGAAAGCATTATGCTAAGCAAAATAAGCCAGGCAATAAAAGACAAATACCATATGATCTCACCTTTAACAGGAGATCACAAATACAAAACACAAAACAAACTAACAAACAAGCAAAATATAACCAAAGACACTGAAATAGAGAACAGGCTGACAGTGACCCGAGGAGAGAGGGGAGGGAATTTCAGGGGAAAATGGAAGGATTTACAGGAACAAGTATAAAGAACACATGGATAAAAACTTGGGGGGAAGTTGGAAATGAGAAGGAGGTGGGGAGGGCAGGGGGGTGGGATGGGAGTAAAAGGCAGAAAACTGTACTGGAACAACAATTAAAATTAAAAAAAAGAGAAATGGGACTGGGGTGCCAGGAAAGAAGATGCACTCTAATATACAGTGTTCTCATTCTAGGCTGGGCATTTGAGGAGGAACTTACCTGGGTCCTTCCATCAAATGAGAGCTTCTTTGAGGACAGAAAAACACTGTAAATTCTTTTAATTCATTATATACAAGGGGCTGTTGTAGGATATCAGAGATTGCTTTTAATGAGTAAGTGGTGAGACCTTTAGCTGGAACCTAATCAACAAAAAAAGAAGCAAATAAAATATAACCAGATATATGAAATTAAAAACAATCTAACAATAGCCAGAGGGGAGGAGGAGGGGACAGTAGGGTGAAGAGTTTTGAGGGACTACTACAAAGGACAAGTGGACAAAACCAAAGGGGAGGGTGGAAGCAAGGGAGGGAGGTGGGTTTGGCTGGGGCAGGAGGCAAGGGTGAGGAGAAAATGTAGACAACTGTAATTAAACAACAATAAAGTAATTAAAAATAAGTGGTGAGCGATAAGTGGGAAATACAAGAGTAAATTAAAGTCTCATGTTATAGGGGAGAGAGCAACTAGAATTATGAGAAAAGAAAAGAAATGCATTGATTTGGTACTATGTGTCAGGTATCCTGGAAGGAGGTGCATGTTGCCTTTGTACATGTCATCTTATTTATTTTTAAAATACTCAAAATGAACAAATCATACCTATTTTACAACTTGGGAGAGTGAGAATTTATTGTCTCAAGTGATGTGCCTGAATCCAGTGGCAACACTCAAGATAAACTTAGGATAAAAAGGAAGCTTGAGCAGAGGCTATTATACAAGGAAGCTGGTTAGAACAAAGGAGATGGAGTGAAGATGAGGTTGAGCCAGCCAGAGAGAGAAGTGAGGGACAAGTGAAAAGCATAGGTTATCAAGGATTTTTGTTTAAGAATGACCAGGCCCTAATGGATGTGTAGCTCTCAGCATGGAAGAAAGTAGACAAGACTTATTGGTACAGAAGGTGAAGGAAAGGAGGGTAAATAGGCCTATGAAATGAAGATGGATTTAAAAAACTGAATTAAATATCTAGTTCAAAAATAACTGGATTTGGGGACTAAATGGAGGGTTCCCTGTCCCAGGTTCCCTAATAAACAAAGGAGGTAGATAAAATAGACCTAGTGTTCCTCTGCCACAGTAAGGCTTTCTGGACAAAAACCCCTGGCTCTGCGATCTGAACAAATTTCACAACCTCTTAGTCCCATAAGCTGAAATTCAGGGCAAGCTCCACCCCTCCTCTGTGTAAGCCCACCTGTCCTGTGTTTGGTCTCAGGCCTGGCCTCCAGCTCACCACCTGGAGGCATGAGCTGACTTGTTATTTATCACAACTCCAGGACTAGCCCTTCCCTTCCACTAATTTTGACAATTAATCCCCTGGGAGACATGGACCAACCAGCCCCAGAAGAACATGCTGCCTCTGAGCCTGCAGGAATAAATGGGCCAAGAAAGGAAGATTCCAGTATATGCTCTCTGGGGAACCAAGTCAAATTCTGAGAAAATATAGAATAAGATGACACATGTGTGTGTTTGTATGGATATGTCTGTGTGAGCATGCATTTATATGTGCATACAAGTATGTAAATCTATATAAATGTACACATGCACACATGCATAGCCATGCTCCTTTATGTGAAATTTTGTTCCCAAGTTTGTATGAATGTGTGAGCATGCATATCTTCCCACAATTAGATTTACCTTGGCTGTATATTCATGTAGAAGGTACCATGACAGGATAATGTCCTTGAGTTGCTAACCTGGGAAATAATCCCCAGATCTGAAGAAAAAGTGCAGTCCACATCTGCATATGTACATGCATGTATTGTATTTATCAACACACACACATGTTTGTATAATGTTATAGGTTTGCTTTAAGGTCCTTTTAAAATAATCTGAAAACTGTTTTATATCCTGAACCTTATTGGTCAGGGACATTTCTGTGTCCCATGGGCACAGGCAAAAGTTGCTTTGTGCTGAAACTGGTAAATTGTGACTCTTTGAATTTACACCTTTCACATAGAACTCAATGTCCTTTTCTTAGGTGAGTGACTTAAGAACATACTGTCATATTGCCACATTCTCAATCTCAATATTACTTGTCGTGGTTAT